GGTTTTCAAGGGGCCGGAATTAGCCATGAAGGGGAGCTTGGTGTCGTCCGTATGTGGTTGTCTATGCCTGGGTGGTGTTGCAGGCTGGGTGGGTGGTCTGTCTTTGCGTCAATGACAGGATCAGTCCGTTCAGGCGGCAATAGTCGGTGCGTGGGTTACCTCTGTCACTCCTGTGCCGCCGTTTTCGTTGCTGGTTCAGTTGGCTGCGGGGGTGAGTAATAATGATCCAACTACTTGACTCAGCCGGTTTTTGAGGCAGGAGCCACGTTGTTAGTCGTTAGGTGCTGTTCCTCCCTTCTTCTCTTGCGCACATGGCACCTGCCATCTTGGGTCTAGCGGGTTGACCCCCCAGCTTCAGCTGCAGCTTCCCAGTCAAGGCTCCAGGGTGAGGACCGGGATCACCCCCCCCGGTCCATAGGGGGGGGGAACAGGGCCGTGACCGTCCAGACTCGTGTCTCAGGTTGGGTGCTGTGTTGCAGGATAGTGGGGCAGCGGCCGTCTGCCCCACTCACCGCCGGAGAAGGCCTCAGGTAGATTTACTAAGAATTCTCCTCCAGGGGACTGCAGCCCGGTGGGCCAGCCTCTCCCTGGATCCAGCAGACCCCTGTTGTAGGTACCAGTGCTGTCGGTCTGCTTTTCTTCTTAAAGACATGGTTTTTGGTCGTTTTCAATGTGCAGTTGCAGGAGCTCTGCTTGCCTGCGACCGTCAAGCTCGGCGGTCCGGCCCCGCCCCCATTCATCATATTTTAACACACTGAAATGAACAGTTACACACAATGGCAGCCATTTCCATACACATATTTGCTAAAGTGAGAATTCAAGGTGAATTTCAAATTTTAATGTGTAGATTGCCAAATTGGGAAAAAAAATCCTGATCTGGTGTGCTTCTAGTCTTCTTCGCTGATCTTAAACTTTAAGTTCACTTCGTATTCTTACTTTAGTAAATCTGTGTATGGAAATGGCTGCCATTGTGTGTAGCTGTTCATTTCAGTGTGTTAAAATAAGAGATGCAGATCTATACAGATATATCTCACCATTTGTTTTAGTAACAACTTAAAGGGATACTGTAGTGCCAGGAATACAAAGCTGTATTCCTGGCACTACCGATCCCTTTGCCTTCCCTCTCCCTCGTGCCCCTCCCTAGTAAATAAAGGGTTAAAAACCCGTTATTTACTTACCTTATCCCAGTGCCGATGTCCATCAGTATTGGGTCAAAGCTCAGCCCCCTCAGTCCTGTGACAAGCACGGTCTAATGCAAAGGCTGCGCGCATTATACCTACCCATATGGGAGAAAATCTGACGCTGAAGGTCCTCATGCAGAGGACAACCACTGAGGGCAGACTTAGTGCTGCAATGTAAACATTGCAGTTTCTCTGGAAATGCAAAGATTTACATTGCAGCACTAGGTGCAAAAGGGACACAGCACCCAGACTGCTTCAATTAGCTGAAGTGGTCTGTTGTGCCTACAGTGTCCCTTTAATACTTTGCAATATAAAAGGTGGTATAAAGCAGGAGGGGGTTGACAAATGTTAGATGTGAAGCTCTTGGAGGCCAGCTACTAAAGAATGAAAAGGGGCCATTGTCACTATGGGATTGTGAACCTTGGGTACTTGTTCTATCCCCTAGCTGGATGAACTCCTACACACCAAGCACCTGTCCAAGAGGGACGCTGAATGTAACTGTTTGTCAGATTGGAACAGTGCCATGATTCTGTGAAACTTTATTCATGTACGGCTTGGTCCCACAACCACCAATCAAGGAGCTATTTGGAAGGGATATCGGGGAGGTGACAAGGTATCTAAGGATACCGAGGACTTTAGGGTGCTCCTCTCAACAGGGCCCCAGGAACGCCTTTTCCTTGACCAGGATTAACCAGCCACAAGTGTGGAACTCTGAGCCAGATCAAAGGATGGCAGTGACCCAGTCAAACTTTAAGGTGTTGTACCTTGTGGCTCGTAACCAGTCCAAGTGATTTTGGACCGAGTATGGCTGAGGTTGAAAGCTATCTTGGGATATACAATGTTTGGAGAGCTTGTATTCCCTGTCTGGAGAGGACGAAGCAGCGATAAAATATAATTAACTCTGAACTGATCTAAATAACTTTTATCTACCCTGACAGAATGGCACCTTGAGACGAAACTTCTATTAATTTATAAATCTTCCGTTGCACATGTAATATTCATTTTATCCTGTATAAATATGGGAGTTCTTGGAATAAAGCAAATGTTTTTTATTCTTCATCAAGTCTCGTTGATGTTTAGGTGCTGCTATAATTACTGAAGCTGTCCTGCTGGAAATGGAGGGACATTGACGGAAATACCCCGGCCGAGTTTCAAGCTCTGTCACAAGAGGTAAAGCGGGTTTTACTCAAGAGAGTTTACAATCTAGGCCAGTGTTCTGCAACCTTTTAGCACCTGCGGCCTGGCGAAAAGAGGAGAACTATTTCAAGGACCGGCATTAGCCAGAGGAAAAAAACAAAAAACAATGCTATGTGTGAGGGGTGGTGGGGGGAGCAGTGTGTGTGTATAGGGGAGATTAATAAATATAGAAACATAGAATGTGACAGCAGATAAGAACCACTCAGCCCATCTAGTCTGCCCAATTTTCTAAATACTTTCATTAGTCCCTAGCCTTATCTTCTAGTTAGGATAGGCTTATGACTATTCCATGAATGCTTAAACTCCTTTACTGTGTTAACCTCTACCACTTCAGCTGGAAGGCTATTCCATGCATCCACTACCCTCTCAGTAAAGTAATACTTCCTGATATTATTTTTAAACCTTTGCCCCTCTAATTTAAGACTATGTCCTCTTGTTGTGGTAGTTCTTCTTTTAAATATAGTCTCCTCCTTTACTGTGTTGATTCCCTTTATGTATTTAAATGTTTCTATCATATCCCCCCTGTCTCGTCTTTCCTCCAAGCTATACATGTTAAGATCCTTTAACCTTTCCTGGTAAGTTGTATCCCGCAATCCATGAACCAGTTTAGTAGCCCTTCTCTGAACCCTCTCTAAGGTATCAATATCCTTCTGAAGATATGGTCTCCAGTACTGTGTACAATACTCCAAGTGAGGTCTCACCAGTGTTCTGTACAATGGCATGAGCACTTCCCTCTTTCTACGGCTAATACCTCTCCCTATACAACCAAGTATTCTGCTAGCATTTCCTGCTGCTCTGTTACATTATTTCTGATGACTTAAAGGTAGGCAGACAATCACCCCCAAATCCCTTTCCTCAGATGTTGAGGTTAGGACTCTATCAAATATTCTGTACTCTGCCCTTGGGTTTTTATGTCTAAGATGCATATATATCTTTATTTTTAGTGCTAGCGGGCCGGAGATCTCTGATCTCCCCTCCGGTCCTGCAGGGCTGGCAGGGGAGAGGGAGGCACAATTCCCAGTGCTATCATAAGATCATAGCACCGGAGAAATATTGAGCGGCAATTTATTGCCAGTCTGTGAAAGCTTTTACCCAACGGTATAGTCGGGTGAAAGCTTTTGCGGAACGGCAATAAATTCTTGCGGACCAGTGGTCAAAGACCACTGATCTAGACAATACATGATCCTTTAAGCCTTGCAAGTTTCTTCACTAATTTGCAGTATGATCCTTATCACCACTCTGCCGGTGACTTCCTCCTGTCCACTGCTCGCACCCTTACTGCTAATGCTGAACTTCTCGCGGTTGTCTCCTTTCCTTTGGAACAGCCTGCTTACCACCTTTAGACTCTCCCCTAGTCTTCAATCATTTAACAAGTCCCTCCTCAAAATCCATGGGGATATAATGAACATTTAATCTAACACAGGGGTGTGATTACTATATAATATAACATGGGAGTGTAATAACTGATATACCAAGGGGGTGATAACTGTGATATAACTATGGGGGTATAATAAACATGTAATATAACACAGGGGTGTGATTACTGTATGATATAACCTAGGGGTGTGATCACTATATGATATAACAACGGGGTGTGATTACTATATGATATAACATGGGGTGTGATAACTATATGATATAACATGGGGTGTGATTACTTTATGATATTACTGGGGGGTGTGATTACTTTATGATATAACATGGGGGTGATTACTTTATGATATAACATGGGGGGGTGATTACTTTATGATGTAACATGGGGGTGATTACTTTATGATATAACATGGGAGGTGTGATTACTTTATGATATAACATGGGGGTGATTACTTTATATAACATGGGGGTGATTACTTTGTAGTATTACTGGGGGTGATTACTTTATGATATTACTGGGGGTGTGATTACTTTATGATTTATGGGGGTGTGATTACTTATGATGTAACATGGGTGTGATTACTTTATGATGTAACATGTGGGGTGATTACTTTATGATGTAACATGGGGGTGAATTACTTTATGATGTAACATGGGGGTGATTACTTTATGATATATATTACTGGTGGATTACTTTATGATATAACATGGGGGTGTGATTACTTTATGATGTAACATGGGGTGATTACTTTATGATATAATAACACATGGGAGGTGTGATTACTTTATGATATAACGGGGTGATTACTTTTATATAACATGGGGTGATTACTCTGGGGGTGATTGCTATGATATTACTGGGGGTGATTACTTTATGATGTAACATGGGGTGTGATTACTTTATGATGTTAACATGGGTGTATGATGTAACATGGGGGTGAGATTACTTTATGATGTAACATGGGGGTGATTACTTTATGATGTAACATGGGGGGTGATTACTTTATGATATTACTGGGGTGTGATTGCTTGATGTAACATGGGGGTGATTACTTTATGATGTAACATGGGGGTGTGATTACTATATGATGTAACATGGGGGTGTGATTACTTTATGATATAACATGGGGGTGTGATTACTATTATGATGTAACATGGGGGGTGATTACTTTATGATATTACTGGGGGGTGTGATTACTTTATGATATTACATGGGGGCTGTCAATCACTGTAGCCACGCCCACTCCCCTATAATGTCCGCCCTCGGAGCCCCGCCCCGGAAGTGAGATGTCCGCCATGTCTCTGGAGTCGGTGCGGTACGGCCGGGGGTCTCTCCGGGTCCTGAACCAGCTGCTGCTGCCGCAGAGGAGCGAGTATGAGCCGGTTACCGCGGTGCAGGAGGGAGCCCGAGCCATCCGGGACATGAAGGTCAGAGGGGCGTGGCTTCCGGAGAGGGCGTGGTCACACGGGAGGGCATGTGTGTAATAGCCAATGAGATTAGAGCGGGGCGGGGCTGCCCGGAACCACGTGACTGGCTGCCTTCCTGACTTGTCAACACGTGGGGTTTAATGTATGACGTCACACATGGTGTCCCATGTCATAAATCTGACGTCACTGTCTCAGTATTATCAGTCCTGGTTTTTATTTCCTAACTGAGTGCTGGATAGTTAATTCATACATAGTATAAATAATACAAAATGGCATCTCCATGGAGACAGATATAATGTCTGAGCTGCTAGCACCATACTAGCATCAATCAGTGTTTACCAGGATCAATGTCCGCCACAAACCATCGGTTACTTACAGAGCTCTTATTGGAGGAGATATGGCTGCGTGACGCTGTGCGTGGCGGCTTACAAACACTTATTATTATTATTATTATTGGCATTTGTTTAGTGCCAACTTATTCTGCCTTACTATAATATACAGGGGAAATTTAACAATAAATGAGACCATTACAAAATGTTACAGAAACAGTGCGTTTACGAGGATCCTGCTTTAAAACGCTTACAACACTTCACATATAACATATAGTTTATAAAACAATTGAAGGGACACTATAGTCACCAGAACAAATACAGCTTATTGCATTTGTTCTGGTGAGTAGACTCATTCCCTTCAGGCTTTTTGCTGTAAACACTGTCTTTTCAGAGAAAATGCAGTGTTTACATTACAGCCTAGTGATAACTTCACTGGCCACTCCTCAGATAGCTGTTAGAGATCCTTTCTGGGTCATGGCTGCCTAAAATGAATCCAAACATTCAGTGTCTCCTCCCTCTGCATGCAGACACTGTACTTTCCTCATAGAGATTAATTGATTCAGTTCATCACCATGAGGAGATGCTGATTGGCCAGGTCTGTGTTTGAATCATGCTGGCTCTGCCCCTGATCTGCCTCTTTGTCAGTCTCAGCCAATCCTATGGGGAAGCATTGTGATTAGTTGAGAGAATCACTTCTGATGATGTCAGCCAAGCAGGCAGATCGGGGCAGAGCAGCAGCAGACCGTAACAAAAGTTGGATTTTACTATATTTAGTAGGGTTTGACAGTGTTTTTAAAGGGACACTGTCGTCACCAAACAACTTGAGCTCAATGAAGCAGTTTTGGTGTATAGACCATGCCTTTGAAGTTTCACTGCTCAATTCACTGCCGTTTAGGCATTAGATCACTTTTGTTTCTGTTTATGCAGCCCTAGTCACACCTCCCCTGGCCGTGGTTGACACAGCCTGCATGGAAACAAAATGGTTTTATTTTTAATCAGAAGTAGCTTACTTTAAAAGTTTTTGTCTCCTGCTCTACAATTTGTACTTTAATAACATGCAATAGGCTCCTGTAGAGTCTAGCAAGCATTGACAGAGCAGGAGATAAGAAATTTTAAATAAAACTGAATTTGCAGTAAAAGTATAAACATTAGATGGCACTTTACAGGAAGTGTTTAGGAAGGCTGTGTAAGTCACATGCAGTGGAGGTGTCTAAGGCTGCATAAACATGGAGATTTAACTCCTAAATGGCAGAGAATTGAGCAATGTGACTGCAGTGGCCTGATCTATACACTAGAACTGCTTAATTAAGCAAAAGTTGTTTTGGTGGCTATAGTGTCCCTTTAACAATATAAGGTCAGGAATACATGTTTGTGTTCCTGACCCTATTGTGTTCCTTTAAAAACTTTTATGTAGAGTCCTATAATATTAAACCTTCTACTCCACAGTGCCCTTGGCAGCTTACCAGTTTGGGCCCCCATCACTCTTACTATAAAGAAGGTGAAAGTGGCTAAGATTGGTGAACAATCTTCATGGTGCCAGTGTTCCTTTTAGCCCATCAGCCTTGGCAGCTGCCTTACGGATAATCTAGCATTGCTGCGGAGCTGTCCTGTGCAGGCAGCTGCAGTTAAAATGTTTGATCTCACACTGATGCTCTCAGTCCACACCTCTAGACCAGTTAGCTGTAATAAAACTGTAATATATTTCAAAACTGTGGCAGAATAAAATAATATATCTTGTATTATTCCATTTTGTTCTTGCCCTTGCCTGATTATCGGATCTGTATAGACATTTATACAGGCTGTATACATGAAAACTTAAAATGGTTTTAAAAGGTTACTCCAACCACCATGATCAGATCAGTAATTTGAAGTGGTCATGTGGTAGGAATCTGTATGTGCATTGTTTCTGCTTGAAACGCTGCACCTTGATAGATATAATCACTTTGTGCTTGGGGGGGCTAGATGCATCCGAGGCCCCCATGACTTTAAGTTTGTTCCAGACTGGCTGATGTCAGTTCTGTCCAAAAATGACATCATTCGTCCGCATACACAGCAGATGAAATGATCATCTCACTTGCTACTTGCAAGGAGAAACTTGTTTTTCGCTTTCGTCTCCCTTCATAGGTGAAATCGCTTTTTAAAAAATGGAAAAAATCCCCTCTCTCCCCTTGTTGGCTCAGAATGCACGCATACAATATGAGCTGGTGAAACACTCCAATCAAATGCTTCTCTGTTAGAAGCAATTGAATGGACCGCACAAGTGCAGGGATGACGTCATATGTAGGAGTGGAGGTCCGCTCAGAGAGACTCGCCTAGCACTGAATTACAGGTAGATTTGAATTCTTTTTTTGCAAATTTAAATGGGGGAACCAGCCAGTAATGCCCAATAGGACACAGTAAGTTAAAAATAAATGTCTATAAAAGGGTTACTGTAACCCTTTAAATCAGAAGTACAATACTTAAGAATAAAATACTTATGAATAAGAATATTCATCTTTAATGAATGTATTTTACCCAGCCATGATATCTCCAGCTCCCTCCATCTGTCCATCTCCTTCTGTAGTTCTGGACAGACTTTTGCCGAGTTACACGCATGCATGTTCGACAGGTTCTCGGTTAAGCTATTAACCAAGTAAGCCGCGTGTGATTCCCTCCACTCAAAATTGAAGGCATCCCTCAGACCATCCACCACAGGCCGTGGAACATATAAGGGCAAAGCCTGTGTCTTAGTTTCATTAAGTTTATAATAGCAAACAACCCCAAATTGTTTTAATATGTGCATCAAGAAATCAAGAGACGCAACCAGGTTCCTTAAAGACAAAATTATATAGTCTGCAAAGAGCCAAATCTAATGAGTGACACCACCGATTGCAACACCCTTTATCTTCGAGTCATTCCTAATTAGTTCGGCCAGGGGTTCCATCTCCAGAATAAATAATAAAGGACAGGGGACAACCTTGTCTCGTACCATGGTAGTTTCAGGTGATCATGCTCTCCTTCTTCAAACTCTTCAATCACTTGGTCTCTGTGACACAGCTCTCTCGTGGTTTTCCTCTTCTCTCTCCCAACGCTCATTTAGTGTCTCCTTTTCTAATAATACCTCCTCCCCTTGTCCTTTTTCAGTTGGAGTCTGTCCTTGGTCCCCTTCTATTTTCTCTTTATACTGCCTCTCTTGGCAAACTTACCTCTTTTGGATTCCACTACCACCTGTTCGCTGATGACACCCAGTTATATCTCTCCTCCCCGGACCTTTCCTCTGCCGTCCTGCAACGTGTCACTGCTTGCCTTTCTTCCATCTCTGACTGGATGTCCTCCCCGCTTTCTGAAACTCAATCTCTCTAAAACCGAGCTCCTCGTCTTTCCTCCTCCTAATACTGATTCCCCTCTTTCGCTCTCCCTTCAAGTTTGTGATACCCACATCAGTCCATCCTTGCAAGCGCGCTGTCTTGGTGTCATACTTGATTCTGGCCTCACCTTTGAGCCACACATCCAGCATGTTGCCAAATCCTGTAGATTCCATCTTAAAAACATAGCCCACATCCGCCCATTTCTTACACAAGATGCTACCAAGGAGCTTGTCCATGCTCTAGTAATTTCCTGCATGGATTACTGTAACCCTCTCCTGATCGGTCTTCCGAAAAGCCGTATTGCCCCGCTACAGTCCATAATGAACGCTGCTGCCAGACTGATTTTCCTCTCTAGTTGGTTCTCTCACACCTCACCCCTCTGCCAGTCCTTACATTGGCTCCCTGTATGCAATAGGAGTCAATTCAAGGTACTAATTCACACCTATAAAGCACTGAACAACTCTAGCCCCTCTTATATCTCCTCACAGATCTTTAGGTATGTCCCTTCTCGGTCTCTCCGCTCTACCCGTGACCACCTCCTGTCCGTTGTCCGCACCCGTACGGCCAACTCACGCTTGCAGGACTTCTCGCAGGCGGCTCCCTTCCTATGGAATAGCCTGCCTACCACCATCAGACTCTCCCCTAGTCTTGCATTTTTTAAGAAGTGCCTTAAAACCCATCTCTTTCGGAAAGCTTATGGCCTCTCAGAGTAACCTCTACCTCACATACCTGTCTCTTGCTCTCTCCTAAAGGGCAGCCCACCTTATTTGACTGCAAATTCCTGTCCTAATGTGTTTTACACCCCACCTCCTATAGAATGTAAGCTCGATTGAGCAGGGTCCTCTTCAACCTATTGTTCCCGTAAGTTTATTTGCAATTGTCCTATTTATAGTTAAATCCCCCCCTCTCATAATATTGTAAAGCGCTACGGAATCTGTTGGAGCTATATAAATGGAAATAAAAATAATAGTAATTTATTTTCAAGTTCCAAAACCAAGTTGTCAATTAATCTCCATGGTCTGTCTGGAGTCACCGAGAGGGACTCAGGAACATATAACCAATTGATGTCAAATATTTCAGATCTTAATACAGTATGCAAAGTTTCCTTATTCACCAAAAACCTATCAATACGTGAGAACATGTTATACTGCACTGAATGATAAGTATAGTCTTTTTTTATTTTTGCAGTGCATAAGGTAGGTACACACAGGCCTGAGGTACCCCGACAGCAATCCTCTGGCATCATAGCTCGCATTACAATCAGGGTATTAGAGTTAACATGCACAGTTTTATATTATATGAGACATGCTTAAAGTTGAATATTATAAGAGATGCTTAAAGTGAATCAATCAAGTTTTTGTTTGCAAGTGTTGTTTAAACATGGGAGATAAGATTTAGTGAGGTCTGTCCAGCCACCATTCCCGCCACAGGCTAGTTGCAAACACATTGTGTTGAGTTAAGTGGCTAGGAGACAGATTGGGTTAGATAGTTTGGGGTTAACCAGCTAGTCTAGGAACGTGTAAACATGGAAAGCATCACTAACTACAGAGACACCGCGGTTATCACTTAAGGTTCAGCATAGTTATATAGGCGTCTGGCATAAGGGTTATATAGGATCCCTTGTCATGTTGTCACAAGGCGGCTAAAAGGGGAGGGAAGTAGAAAGGAGACATAAGGCACACAAGTGGTACACCTCTCTCAACACTGGGGGTAGCAGCATGGCATGGAGTCGCCTTGGATTTCCTAAGAGTACCTCACCCTATGCCCCTAACAGTCCAGGCTTGGAAGCACTGTTCCTTCTCAGGACGACCACCACTGATGCTCCAGGCTTGGAAGGGGGCTAGTGACCAGTGTCCATGGATCCGCCTACTGCCAGAGGCTAGATTTCGTGCCCCCAGGGTCCCCGTAGCTTGGTTGCCCCTTAGGGTGTATGGACGGCTACCTGGTTTGCATTCCAGGCGGGCCCCCGGCCTAGAAGAGTAGCAGGAAGCTGGTGTAGCTGTAGGCTTTGGTGGAGTACTTGGAGGGGTGATTTTCCATTTCGCCTCCAGCCTGACACAAGGGGTTGCCTCAGTGACTGCTGGTGCAGGTATTGTTGATTTTCCATGGGTCCCAGGCTTGGTTCTTTTTGGTTGCGCTTTGCATGCTGCCCTCTGCTGGAGCCATAGGGGTCTCCCGCCTCGTCGCCATTTTGGGGCCTTCATCCATGGTGGGACTGCAGGCATCCGTTGCTTGTTTAGGGATGGCGGTGAGGGAGAGTGGTCATTAGGCTGCCGCTGGAAGAGAGATGCATCCTCTCCTCCAGGTTGCGCCAGAATGTAGCAAAGGCTCTGTCTAGCCTGACCAGGATGTCTGCCTGCTCTGGTGCAGTGTCCGGGTGCCTCGTGGCATCCGCCATATTAGCTGGGTCGGGAGATGTGCCCGTGGCTCTGGTATCTTTGTCCACCTTTTGCTGTGGGTCAGAGTGGTTTCCCATGGTTGGACCGGGATCACCCCTACCGGTCCAAAGGGGGGGCTAGCTGGGTGCCTGCTCCGCTGTATTAGCCCGTGTGCTTCTCAGAGCAGGGAGGTCGGCCGCCCCTCCTGCCTGGTGCTCAGCGGGCCGCATGGTTCCAAGTGTGCCGTTCGTGAGCTGCAGTCAAGCTTCTGCCCTCAGTAGTTTCTTACTGCTCGTTTAAGAGGCAGGTAAGGTTTTGGCTGGGTCTTGGATCGAGGTAAATAGGCTGAAAAATCGCTTTTTTGCCGAATATGAAGAGGAGCTCATGCAAGTCACGTCTCTACAGCATGACGGTCAGGCTCCGCCCCCCCATAAGTATAGTCTTTTTTTACTCGCGTGAGTCACTCACCGTGCATCATATACCCATAGAAAAAAGCTATTGAGAACATCTCTGTGCCAAACTTTCACTGTCACGCCTTTCAGACAAAGAAACAGTCTCTGTCATTATATCCAAATCATGATCAATCACAAAGTTTGTATCACCGCACAAAATCAGTCTCCCATTGCATTCATCCAAAACCTTCTTAACAATGTTATTTAAAAATTTTAATTGGCCCGCATTTGGAAAGTAAATGTTAGCCACTGTGTAAGTTATGTTGTTAGTCTTGCCTTGTCAGGGGTTCAGGAATTTCCTGGAAGTCTTATTTTTGCGCCACCATGCACATGGTCCCATGCCCAAAACAGTTCCATACACTCGACGACAAAACACAATTTAAGATGGCCACCGCCACATGTTTGAATCTGTTCCAGTTAAAAGTCCGAGGGGCAGAAACAGTAGTTTTGAACATGGGTTATCACAGGGCCCATAGTCCCAGGGTAGGAGGCTGGCAAACAGGCCCCTCCAAAAACTCATGGCAAAACTCCCTTAAAAAGGGGGGTTTGTCACACATGCAGAGCCCTCAATACACCAATTGATATTAGATCAGCATAGTTTCTCCGCAATAACAATGAAAACATAGATGAAAAGAGAAAAATGCAATAAAAATACAAATAAATCAAACACATTTCAAAAAGGGGGGGGGGGGAACCGGATTGCAAAAAAGTATCTACAAAAAAATATCAGGCCAACAGCGAGATGCTTCAGAGAAAAAATGTAAACACCACGGTGTCGGGTAAAAAAATAAAAAAAGATTTAGGCGTGGCATTTGGGGGTATATTAAAGTTCGGTGGTAGAGCGAAACATATAGTTCTTACAAAGATACTGCAATAAATACATACACACGTTGCAAAATAATAACTTTGAAAATCAGGTACACCCAAACCACCATTCACTCTGAGATGTTGCTGTATAGACAACTTGATCCGATTTTAGATTTGTCTGACCAAATATATTTTATCATAGCCGAAGTAAGTTTCTTAAAAAAGGAAATAAAAATAAACTGTTTATTCAAGTAATTTCCTGAAAACTTTACCAAAGTGGATAGGATAATGGCAGGCCACATCTTGATAGCGACCACTATGGTAATACCACGTTATTGGAGATCTGACGTAGTTCCTGCTATTAAGGAGGTATTAACACGGGCCTTAGAGAATGAATGCTATGAGATGCACCTCAGATTGCCATCAAACACAACAGAATCATTAACTTACCATTGGAACATATGGGAGGGTAATTCAAACGAAATTATTCTTTGATTGTAGTTTATTTGCCTCTCCTTTTTGCTCTGTTTGTGCACTTTTTATCACCGGTGCATGTGGAGTGCTTGTACACCTTATTTGACACTATGTAGTGTTTTTCATAAAGCAAACGTTATATATATATATATATATATTCTTTATTCCATATATTTCATTGTTTTACCTTTCAATAAAAAACATTTGATAAGTACAATACTACCACTAAGAATGAAAGTTATTATATATATATATATTATTTTAAATCAAACATTATTATTATTATTAAATCAATATGGTTAATGCTGCCATGTTTTCAATAAGGAAAGTAAAACAAACGTATGTGACTTTATCAAAGTTGGATTTATGGGAGTTTCTGTCATTTTTCTAGGTGCGGGGAGCTCCAGCTATTGCCATTGTAGGATGTCTCAGTCTTGCTGTGGAGCTGGCCAATAATCCGCCATGTGAAACGCCTGCCTTAATGACATTTGTCCGGGAATCCCTAGATCTCCTGATTGGCGCCCGCCCCACCGCTGTCAACATGAAGAAAGCAGCCGATGAACTGAACACATTCCTCGCTCGTGAAGCCGAAAAACCTGGATGTACGGTCCAAGAACTGACTGAAAGGTCAGAATGGGAATATTTTCACATTGGAGTATGTCCTCATCCAATAGGAGCAAAACACTCATAGTCTCTAACTTTAATACCCTCATCTATGGGATTCACAAAAAAATAGGCCAAGATACCATTTGAAGCATTTTGTTAAATTACACCTGATACTAATCAAACAATCTAACTTTTACTTCAGCATCATAAAGTGGGCAGAAGCTCTCCGGGAGAAAGACATAGACGACAATCGCAAGATTGGGGAATTTGGTGCGCAGCGCATACTGGAGAACGCAGGGTCCACGGAGGCCGTGTGTGTGCTGACCCATTGTAATACTGGGTCCCTGGCGACTGCCGGGTACGGCACCGCTCTAGGTAATTTATAGGAACGGGTTCTTTTTGGACATTATAATCTGTGATATCTGGGAGAGGTTTCTCTCTGTTAAAATTCTTTAGCTAAAAATATAGAACTGTCTTTTGTAGGTCAATCTCTACTTGTTAGCTTCTGTTTTCTCAAACGTCTTTAATGCTGGCTTTCTTTAGGATAGATATCCTCCCTACTCTTGCTCTTTAACCCCACCAGGTATCTGCTCTTTCATACACTTTTACTCGAATAATACTTTCTCTTTTCTGGCCAGGTGTAGTGTAAAGTCTCTGCCATGCTCATGATTTGTTTCTGGAACAGGTGTGGTTCGGTCACTCCATACCCTTGGTCGCCTGTCTCACGTCTTCTGCACGGAAACTCGTCCGTACAACCAAGGGTCCAGACTTACTGCTTATGAGTTGGTGTATGAGAAGATTCCAGCCACCCTTATCACAGACAGCATGGCGGCCGTCACAATGCGAGAACGTCGGGTCTCTGGTGAGTGGTGACGAGCCCTGGGAAGATTCTCAGCAGAGGCAAAGCTTTCTATACAAAACAAGCATGCCCATTACTCCTTGTTTTAACATCCGAACAATAACAAAATGTCCTAAGGCACAAACACAAGTTCGATGTTTGCTGTCTCGTGAAATACTATCATCCATAGATCAAAATGGAATACCTGCTAATGTGTACCTGCTATGATTTAAAGATGAGAAATATATTCTATTCAAGTGCTGTTATAATTGCTAGAAAATGTGTATATTTTATTTACCTGTCAATCCATTCTCTGAATAGCGAGCTATGCTGATAATTGAATGACCGTAGAATGCTAGATAACCTTCACCCAGGTTTCCTAAGCATACCTCCCAAGGATGCCAACATGCTGACTTCACACCCACAAGCCTGGCATCATGGCAAAATCAGTAGTGCTGGATATGGTATAACTATAACCACTCACACAATTTTTTGCAGTTATCCATTTTTAATTTGTTTGTGTTTTTCATTTTCTAACCCAATCACCCTTAGATCTTTTTCCAGCCAAGTTTATGCTTGGTAAATGCTTTTATATATACTGTATAATATGCTTTGGTTTATCGTAACGTCTGTTTATCCTATGATTCCCCTCTTTATTTTTCTTCCAGCTGTCGTGGTGGGAGCAGATAGAGTGGTTGCCAATGGTGACACGGCCAATAAAGTTGGGACGTATCAGCTGGCGATACTTGCCAAGCACCATGGAATCCCCTTCTATGTCGCTGCACCAAGCACATCCTGTGACTTCAGCCTACCCACCGGTGCCAGCATTGTCATTGAGGAGAGGCCGAGCAATGAGCTGACAGACATCAATGGGACCAGAGTGGCTGCCCCAGGTAAGAGCAGGGAGCCCTAAATGATGTAGCTCAGGGCTAAACATATATAGACCTGAGCTATTAGCCAGGCCTTAAATTACAATCCACTGCAAGTCTGGAGGGTCCACGGCAAACCCCAAGGGTGAAATTCTACTTGTCGCGGCTACATTTTCACTCACCAGTGGCCTGTGTTCAAAGGATTATTCCAATTGGTGAAATGATGGGAGAACTATACTGAGAAAGATCTGGCTTTGTGAGTAAAATTATATATTAATTTGTCTCTCAGTTTGTGCTAAAGGGAGTATTCTTTGTGGTTGTAGATAAGACATTCCATCAGGGCCAGAGGAATCTAAGCAGAAATAGAGAATAAGGGTGGTCCACTTCTTCTTCTTGGAAAAGTGGAGTGAAAAGAAAATGCACGGATTGCAAGAACTAGTTTGCTCAGTCCCATGGACAGTCTAGTTGCCCTCCAGGCCTTGACTGGAGCATAAAGAGTGAATCTTGAGAGAGGAGAACACATACTGTGTAGTAGGAGTAAATTAATAGGGAAGAATTGTTGATCGATGGACATGACCAAATGAGAGTGCCTTGAGGTGAGTCTGTCTAGTGCGTGCTGGTCTCTAATCCATGATGTTTGGCAGACTGATTCCCATATTGAATTTCAGTTGCTGCAGTTGTTAGTGCTATCATTGGGTGTTTGTGACCCTGTAGGAAGAAGGAAAAGAGCCTATTACATTGCTGCATTTTTTTGTTTGTTTTTCCTTGTTTGGAGAGATGTTTAAGGTGGGATTGAAACATATGGAGGAATGCTGGTGCGATTTTAAAGATTTTTAAATGGGTGGCCAAAGTCCGTCAATGTAATTGGTAAGAGTATCCAGGCGGCAATTTTCTGCTCCATGTCTGAAATACTAATACTTTATTTGGTCATATTCAGTGGTGTATTCTGGATTTGTGCTGCCCTACCACACCTAAATTCGGGCACCCCCAAAATCTAGATTTGACCCCCCAATTCATGTCAAGGCCACTTTTTTGACTGACAGACACATGCCCTCATTGATAAATGCATTGATATACACTCACTGACAGATACAGTCATTGGCACACACATACAGTCATTGGCACACACTGTTTAACCAACACACACTTTCACTGACAGACACACACTGACACACCCACTCACTGACAGGCACACACTCTCTCAGATTCACATAAAATGACATACACACACGCACAGGCACACCCATTCTCACTCACAGACACACACTGACAGCTACACTCACTCACTCACAGTAAGGTGGACAGCCCCAGAATACAAGGCAAGCAAGGCATTTGTCTGGGAGCTTGGGTGGCATTTTTGGCGCCCCCCTGCCTTGTTTGCCTTGTGGTAAATACATCCCTGGTCATATTAAGGTAATAAGGCTATTGGTTGGGAAGGTTCCCAGATATATTAGGTGAGTGCGCGTCTGTTTTGGATTCTGACCGGATTGGGTCCCTGGTGTGATTCCCAGAACGTATTGCCATAGCTGTGGGCCCAGGAGGAGGCATGTAGTGGGAAAGGCAAAACCGAAACCATAAAACTGAAAATACAAAAACAAAGTTAAGCTCCCCACAGAACCATGGAAACAGATTGTTACTGAGAACTTGGAGCCTAAGCCGTCACCATGAATATTGTAGAAATCTCCCCATAGATCCATGGAAACAGATTGTTACTGAGAACTTGGAGCCTAAGCCGTCACCATGAATATTGTAGAAATCTCCCCATAGAACCATGGAAACAGATTGTTACTGAGAACTTGGAGCCTAAGCCGTCACCATGAATATTGTAGAATTCGGCTTATTCCTGCTCTTAGCTGGGGTGTCCAAACTGTAGGTCTAGTTCAGATGGGTAAATCGTAAATTAACCAGGTACTGCTGCTGAAATGTTATGTTACTACCCACCAGCATGATTGGAGTGTATTCTCCAAGCAAGACCTCATTCACTTGGTACAGAGATTGCGAGTATGGTTGGAGAGGGGACATCTTGTCAGCAAGTTTGAGTCGAATTAGGACTTGTTTGGATTTGACTGAATTATTTGAAGAGCCAATTTCATGTGCGGAGGAACCAGAGAGCCAGACAAATAACGGAGTTAGGTTGTAGAATATGTGACAAAGTGACAAACTCAGAGCAGAAGATATCCACTAGGTGGCGCCAGCAGTGCAGAATAACGTGCACATTTTGCACCAACATGGGAAAAACTTTTTGAAGAAGGAATATATTTTATAGGTTATATCTGACACATCTGGAAAAGCCCGAGGAATTATAGGAATGACCATACAAAATGACCACCATTATTGCTGAATACAAATAATCTGTAGAAGATAGAGGAATTCTCAGAAGCATGTTCTTAGCCATCCTGTGCAGATATCTATTTAGGTGGTGACCTCCCTCTACACAAGCTAGCTTTCAAAATTAGAGCCAATATATAGTGTGGCCTCAAACGTTGAAAATTTGGTAAGGCGCAGTTCATGAGGTATTCATAATAAGATTTGTGCCAGTCTTATAAAGGGATGAGGTTGGGAAGAAGTGTGGGAGTCTTAGATGATGGTAGCTGGCCTTGAGGCCTATTCACGATTTTCATTTTAGAAATGGACCCAAAAAGTACAGCTTGCGTTTCCTTCTGAGCGAAGATGACAGTCGTGCACTGCAGCATGAGCCACAGATTTGTCTGTTGGTGTACTGGTCAGCTTGACCAGAGACTGAGGAATAATGTAGGGGATGGACCACTGGTTGGGTGAACAAAATTGACACAATGGTGTGTTTGGTGCTTCGTATTGGCATCACTATCACAGCTTGGTGCAGAGTAGGATCCCAGAGGAGAAGTAGTCTTCGGCACAAAGAATTGCAATACCTGATGTTCTAGATTGTGTGGAATAGTTAGGAAACGTAGGGCCACCAATGGCAAAAGACTTGTTCATATAGCAAAGGCGTATGTCCATCCTCTGTAGATTTTCCCAGAGAAGTCCAGATGCACTGTTTTAGTGGATTTGTCTGATGCTATAGACAGACTCCTCTATTAAAAAAAGAAGAGACCTCCAATCAGGAGCTTCTCATTCTCAACTATGGAGTTTTTTTTTTCTGATCCCATAATCCTCTCTTAGTAGATTAGTAACGCATCCTATAAGAGCAGTTCCAATCCTCATACGATGAGTGGAACTGTTTTATAAACTGACAAGAGACATGCAGTTCAGTTTGTTGAATTGTGCTTGTTCAGTGATTGGTCACTGCGCACTTAGAGCATCATGGGAAACCTTTGTAAACAAAACTTGCAGGTACTGGTGCCAAGAAATGTTTTGTACTAACCTTTCCGAAACAAGCCTTTGTAAATAAGATGGCTGTATTTTAACAAAGGAGCAGTAGACCCTTACCTTTTCATATTTATCATGCTTTTGAACTTGCATGTGTCTTGTGTGTTATAGTTTATTTTAGTTTATTTTTTTACTCTGGACAAGTATCTAATTAATTTTTCACCTCAATGTTTCAGGCATCGGCGTCTGGAATCCAGCATTTGATGTTACTCCCCACGAACTGATCACTGGGATAATTACAGAGCAAGGTGTCTTTAAACCTGATGAGCTAAAGGATGGCCTGACCCGGTTTTAGTGACGCTGCATGCAGTATATGTTATTGTGAGCGCACTTTCTGTGTAACACTAAACTGCACAAAATGCTACCTGGAACCTCCGACTTGTGTTCTAATGTAAAATGCCATCTATTTACTGTACTGGCTGACCTCACTGTGATCCTGTAATTTTTGTAATAAAATGTTCTGAATTCGTAACTGGCTTGAGTCTGAGATTTCATCCTATATATATTTTTTTGTTGTTGTTGTTTTAGTCTTGCTTTTTTTTAACCCTTTAAGTAGAGGGTTACCAAGTTGTAGCAGAGCTCCCTGTACCCCGACTGGGTACCTCCGCCAAGGACCTCTTCCTAGCTGGAACAGGGAAAAAACCTCAGCGCTTCTGCCCCAGTCGCCGTGGCTTGACTGGAGTCGTCCTGGAGCCTCTCCATCCTGGAACTGGGTAGGGGACTAGCTCTAATCCCTCCCTGGAACTGGACGACACACAGTCCTAGGAGCTCTAGTCCTTACAAGGACTTTCCCCCGCCGCATCCTCCACAAGCCAGAACAATTTTCTGAGCAGTTATTCTAGCCCTTCCCCTCCCAGTAACTAGAGGACACATTGTTCTGGGAGTACAACTGGTTTAATGATCCAAACTCTGCCTTTTTATACCCAGACCCCAGCAGGGGGTCTCCATTGTCTTCACTACAAGCCCCTCCCAGGAATCTCTGGGACTGGTCGATAATTGCGTTTAAAGACTGGTAACCTAATTATCTCCTAGGAACAGAGAGGCAAACCCAAAAATATAAAAACACTAAAATACTCCAAAACATGATAACCTTAAATAACCCCAAAAAATAAAATATCTTTTAAATAGCCCTGTTCTCCATAAGCGCTCCGATCCATGCAGTGTAGGGGAAACGCCACTGTGTTAACGTTTTTTTACCGACCGCACACGTGGTCCTATGCCCAAAATAAATCCAGGGCGTTTGGTGCTTTTGCCAGTCAACTTTCGGGAGCTCCTGCGACTGCAATACAGGGTGCTCCGCCTGGTTCTTATGTAGCGATTGTTCCCCTTAGTCTCAGGAACCGCACGGTCACCTCATCTTGACAACAGTTCTATAACATTCGCGGCTAAGTCCCGCTGAGGTGACCGGGAACCCACAAAGTCTTAATGCCGAATTTAGTTCCATAGCGGTCGCGGCTAAGTACCGCTGGAACTATTCATGGATTTGGTTAATCGAACAGCTGCCAGAATGTCAGCGTTCGGTCTATTCGCATGAAGGGAAAGTGCCAAATGAAGGGCACCCAGAGAAAGGTGTTAATGGCGGCTGGGCAGAAAAAATTGTCCTAGACCTGGCCCATAGTTGGTGGGCAGGAGACCGGCTTCCACACTCCTCCAGGAGTCCATGGCAAATGTACATGGGAAGAAGCATTTGTCACACCAGTGACCATGACCACTTCTACTTTTTGAAGTGGTAATGGTGGTAGGAGTCTGTGTGTGCAGGGTGTGCAGGGTGTCTTTTTTAAACTTTGCATATACTGAGATATTTGTGCCTGGGATAGTTACTAACTTCCAAATATTAATTATGTGCAAAAAATACATCCGTCAGCTTATACTGCGTGCTGGCAATGGACTTAATTAACTTCACTTTGTTGGCAGAGTCTGGAAGGGGAAGTGTTTGTCCCTTCCCTTCTTTCTTCACTGAAGCCCTTCCAGTCTCCATGTACACTCCATTATTCATTTATTAATAAATGTATTTATTTTCCCTGCCTCCCTTCCTCTCTCCCCTCGTCGACTCAGGTGCATACACCATGAGACGATTAAACGGTCCAATCAATCATAATGGCTGGTAGAGTATATGTGTTATGTTGGTGATACAATTTTGGTTCTGGACTGTCCTTATGGTTGGGATAAGTGTGACATGCAAAGAGTGTAGGTTTTCTTTGCAAAAGCCCAAGTGAGCAAAAATATTAAGATCTGAGCGAAAGACAAGCTACTGAGTTAATATAAGCTCCTCTCCGTCCTCATACTCTCTGGTCTTTGTTCTTTATGAGAAGCCTCTTTTCGGACAGCCATGATGTCAAACCAGGGACTACTAAGCAGCGCCCAGCGCTGGATTTCAAGTCAGTTTTAGCTTCTTTATTTAAGCGTTTGTTTTGATGGGAATGCCCTTCTGGCAGATTGTGAAACAGTCCATGCAGAGACTCTGGCCAATCCTATTGAATGATGTCTATCTTAAAGGGACTCTTAAGTGCCTCCAACCCCTAGGATTAAATGAGGGCTTCTCATTTTCACCCTTTATTTAAACTGGCCATTGAGCTAACCTGCTTCCTTTATAGTATTTACTTACGAGATCCTGATCGTAATCATCTAGATGGTAAATTAGTATGTAAATGTATACCGTGTTTTAATTTTTATTTTTGCACTCATTTTTAAGCCCCTTAATCATAGTAAGCTTCCCCTGTATACAGTGCTCAAAAAAATAAAGGGAACACAAAAATAACACATCCTAGATCTGAATGAATTAAATATTCTTCTGAAATACTTTGTTCTTTACATAGTTGAATGTGCTGACAACAAAATCACACACAAAAAAAAAAATGGAAATCAAATTTTTCAACCCATGGAGATCTGGATTTGGAGTCACACTCAAAATTAAAATGCAAAAACATACTACAGGCTGATCCAGCTTTGATGTAATGTCCTTAAAACAAGTCAAAATGAGGTTCAGTAGTGTGTGTGGCCTCCACGTGCCTGTATGACCTCCCTACAATGCCTCTGCATGCTCCTGATGAGGTGGTGGATGGTCTCCTGAGGGATCTCCTCCCAGACCTGGACTAAGGCATCTGCCAACTCCTGGACAGTCTGTGGTGCAATCTGAAGTTGGTGGATGGAGCGAGACATGATGTCCCAGATGTGCTCAACTGGATTCAGGTCTGGGGAACGGGTGGGCCAGTCCATAGCATCAATGCCTTTGTCTTGCAGGAACTGCAGCCACATGAGGTCTAGCATTGTCTTGCATTAGGAGGAACCCAGGGCCAACGGCACCAGAATATGGTCTCACAAGGGGTCTGAAGATCTCATCTCAGTAACTAATGGCAGTCAGGCTACCTCTGGCGAGCACATGGAGGGCTGTGCGGCTCCCCAAAGAAATGCCATCCCACACCATTACTGACCCACTGCCAAACCGGTCACGCTGGAGGATGTTGCAGGCAGCAGAACGTTCTCCACGGCGTCTCCAGACTCTGTCACGTCTGTCACGTGCTCAGTGTGAACCTTCTTTCATCTGTGAAGAGCACAGGGTGCCAGTGGCAAATTTGCCAATCTTGGTGTTCTCTGGCAAATGCCAAATGTCCTGTACAGTGTTGGGCTATAAGCACAACCCCCACCTGTGGTCGACGGGCCCTTATACCACCCTCATGGAGTCTGTTTCTGACCATTTGAGCAGACACATGCACATTTGTGACCTGCTGGAGGTCAGTTTGCAGGGCTCTGGCAGTGCTTCTCCTGTTCCTCCTTGCACAAAGGCGGAGGTAGCGGTCCTGCTGCTTGGTTGTTGCCCTCCTATGTCTCCTCCACGTCTCCTGATGTACTGGCCTGTCTCCTGGTAGCACCTCCATGCTCTGGACACTACGCTGACCGACACAGCAAACCTTCTTGCCACAGCTCGCATTGATGTGCCATCCTGGATGAGCTGCACTACCTGAGCCACTTGTGTGGGTTGTAGACTCCGTCTCATGCTACCACTAGAGTGAAAGCCCCGCCAGCATTCAAAAGTGACCAAAACATCAGCCAGGAAGCATAGGAACTGAGAAGTGGTCTGTAGTCACTACCTTCATAACCACTCCTTTATTGCGGGTGTCTTGCTAATTGCCTATAGTTTCCACCTGTTGTCTATCCCATTTGCACAACAGCATGTTAAATTGATTGTCACTCAGTGTTGCTTCCTAAGTGGACAGTTTGATTTCACAGAAGTGTGATTGACTTGGAGTTACATTGTGTTGTTTAAGTGTTCCCTTTATTTTTTTGAGCAGTGTATTATACCATAGGTAATTTAATAATGTGCTAGTGTATGAGTAGATTCCATGTAGTCCCTTGATTTCCCTCTCACCTTCTGAGGGATTGAACTAAGGACATTAACACATTATCCTGGGTTCATGCTTCTAACTCTATACAAATATACAATTTATACAACTGTTTGTAGCTGCTTTTTCAGCAACTTGTCCTTTGAGGACTCGTTGAATAAAGGACAATGGTTAATAAAAGTGTATTCATACAAATAGATTTTGGGGGTTATATACTCCTCCATTGTATTTCCTTAAAACCATCAGGGGTTGATAAAAGGTTTTAGCCCTATAAATATATTATTTACACAATCATCCGGATTAACATCCTGATACCATTAGGATAGCTCCTGGGACTTTCTGCTATTTTCCCTTATGAGCACTTGTTGATTTATAGGCGACGGATAATAAAAATGCACTCCTACAAACTGATCTTGGGGGCAACATGCTCCTCCGTTTTACTTTCTTAAAGGGACACTCCAGGCACCCAGTTTTCATAAACTGCAATAATTACCTTATTACCTTGCAGGGTTAACTCTTCCTCTAGTGGCTGTCCAAATTTTTTTCTATTTTTTGGTTTATATTTAAGGAGGGGTTGTCTTTCTTTCTCAGCAATCAGCAAAAGGTTATATAAAAGAAGATTTAGATACAATAGAAAAAGAGATTGCTGAAAAAAAAAGAAAGAAAGACAACCCCTCCTTAAATATAAACCAAAAAATAGAAAAAAATTTGGAGATGAACAAAATGATAAGATAATTCCTTTGGTTTTTGATTTTAGTTCTAATAATAGAGCATTACAAAAGATAGTTAAAAAACATTGGTATGTTCTCAAAGAAGACCCAGAAATCCTTCCGTTTTTAGACTCTAAACCTAAATTCATTTTTAGAGGGGCAAGCAATTTTAGACAAATATTAACCAAAAGTTTTTTAGATAAAGATAAAATTGATAATAATTTTTTAAAGGGGAGTAAAGGGTTTCATTTTTGTGGTACTTGCCAAGGATGTTTATGCAAAACTAGTAAAAATAAAAAAATTACACAGTTTACGTCATTAATTACTAAAAGGGAATATAAAATTAAATCTTTTATTAATTGTTCGAGTAAAGGGCTAATTTATTTACTTACTTGCCCGTGTGGGTTACAATATATTGGTAA